AATACATACAATCTAAGTTGGTAGAGGCAGGAGAAGGGACAGGCCAGCATGCCTTGCACATTTTGACAAGTATCGCATCCAGCCACCCCAGTGGGGTCTCTGTGGGACACAACCGTGCACGGGGCATGAGGCAAGAAGTTTATTTCCTCTTCCCATTGCTTGAAATCACCAAATCACTTTATTACAGATCTGAAAACAGCGCCCAGACTTCTGCTTGCTAATATTCTCTTGAAATAGACTCATTCCTTCAGAGTCTTATTGTACTTTCCCTTATGATCAAAATTAGCAAGAAACTTGCATAAAAGAGGACAATAATTGCTCAACGAGCATCTCGTTTGTAATTTATTAGTTTCTATTATTGTGGGTTACCATGGCGACGCTGCGCAGCCCGGGTGACGGGAGAGATGCAAGATAGGCGCCGAGGAGGCTGTGAGGCCTCACCAAATGGAGATGCACATTTTTATCAGTAATTTTCATGAAAATAATAAGTGAGGAGTTAATGAGATGGAAAGCCATCCTGTGGCTATTGTGAATTTTTTTTAAGTGTTGATCTAATTAGAATGCATCGGTCAGGAAAAGTAATGAGGGTTTAGTGCCTCACAGAGATGTGAGGATCATATCAGAAAATTAGCACAGTCTTTGGAAATAATCAGGTCCTTAGAGAGGTGCTGGGTTTCCCCTCCTGGGCCCTCCCAACTCTACCCCAAGCTCTGGTGTTGGGGGTGCACCAGGACGGTGGGGACAGGAGGAGGCCAGGGGGGTGGGCAGTCACAACGGCCCCTCAGGGTTGGGGCCCTGAGGCTGACGTGTGGGTCTGGGCAGCAGGGTCACTGTGGAGCTGGCAGAGACGCAGCGGGCTCTGGATGAGCAAGGTCTCATACGCTGGCTGTGAAGTCAGCCCCCGGGGTCCCCGCATTCGGTGCCTCTGAGATCCAAGGAGAGAGGAAGTACTTTGGTTCCTATCATGACCCTCATCAGATCTCTGCCTCCACGGAGCGGGCCCTGAGGCGGCCACTGCAGAAAGGCTCTGATCCACTCAGAAAGAAACAGACAGTCGGCAAAAACAAAGGCAGCAGGAAAGAGAGGCATTTCCCAAACTCGGTCTTTCCTTTCCTCTACAGCATCACCTACTTAGTCCAGGCGCCAGTGGTGAATAAGGTGATTGCACACAGGCTGCTGCCAGGGCTTCCTACCCTGCTCTCCAGCCTGCTCTGGTTGTCCTCAGCCTCCCTCACACACACACATGCACATACACAATCACACACACACACTCACATGCACTCACAGTCATACACTCACACAAACACACTCACACACAATCACACACATGCAGTCACATAATTGCACACATGCACTCACATAATCACACATGCACGCATGCACAATCACACATGTACACGCACATGCATGCATTTGTACAAATGATCATACATGCACACAATCACACACTTGCACACACTCATCTGTTTGGTGCCCCCCCACATCTCTACAGGACCAAATCCAGCGCTTCCCCAAGGGCAGTAACAGGGCTGCCCTCCCAGGGGAGCCTCCCTGGCACTCTACCCAGAATGGACTTTTCTCTCCCAACTAATAGCTGAGCACTTTGGGCCATTTGTGTGGTAATAGCACGCGTGACTCTATATTGTAATCACGTGCCTACGCCTCATTTTCCTCTCCTAGATCACAACCATGATTTGAATAGAGACAGTATTTTATATATTATTATGGCCCATGCCCAGCGGCCGTTGTCAGGGAGCCTTGTGCATGAGAGGCGGCCAGTAAGTATCTGTCAAAAGGAGTAATATGATGAGAAAGATGGCAAGAGAAAGCCAGAGGAGAAAGGAGAAATAGAAGAAAGGGAAAGGAAAAGGAAGACAGATGTCGAGGGTCTTGTTCAAGAGGGAGGTAGAGAAAGGAGTGGAGGAATTAGAGGAATGGAAGGCTTGGAGGAATTAGAGGAATGGAAGGCTTGGAGGAATTAGAGGAATGGAAGGCTTGGAGGAATTAGAGGAATGGAAGGATTGGAGGAATTAGAGGAATGGAAGGCTTGGAGGGATTAGAGGAATGGAAGGATTGGAGGAATTAGAGGAAGGGAAGGATTGGAGGAAAAGGGAAGAGACTCAGACCTGGGGAAGGAAGTGAGGTGATGAAAGGCAGAGGCAGAAAAGATGCAAGGAGGACCGGCAGCGATCTGAGATGAAGGATGTGGGTCAGTGCAAAGTCCGAGGTGTATGGAGAGCTGGACCGTGTGCTCTCCCCATCCACGTCCCTGGTCTCGCTGAGTAGGCTGTGGCTAGCATGGGCCTTCCAAGGAAGGAGCGACCCAGGCTCCCGAGAGACTTTCCAGTGGAAGAGGCAGCCTTGAGATTCGGGCACAGGAGCCAGTACAGAGAAGAGAGAGAAAACAAGTGTATGGGTGGATGCATGTGTGTGCACGCATGTGAGTGTGTGTGTGTACACATTCGTCATGGTTTGATCTTAATCCCCCAACCCCGAACTAGCCATTGAGAGCCAGCCTGGCCTGGAGGGGTGTCTCCCTCGGGAACATGATCCTGGGGATCAACATCCCTGCAGCCTGCCAGCTTTGCTGCAAACTGCTGGCTCATGGTTTTCCCTGCAGGCTAATCCCTCAGCCTTGTGTTGCAAAGTAGATGTTCTTTAATCCAAATGTGTCCCCCTCACCACCTCCTCAATATCATACTGTGCCCCCATCCAGCTCTGTGGGGTCAGGGCATGTTCCCCGCTTGGTGAGTTTTCTCTTTGGGGCTGCAACAGGGATGAGGAGTGAGGGAAACTGCTACTACCAAGATGCAGAGCGAAAAGTTTCAGGGACTCTCTCCTCGTCCCTGGGAAGCCATCCTGTGCCGCCTGCACCTGACA